CACAGCTAAAGCAAGAAAACAACAAAGGGTGATGGCATGAAGAACCAAAACCAGCTTCAATCTACTGCAGAATTTTCCAAAAGAAGTGCAAGCTTCACTCCATGACACCATTTGGTCACCATTGTAGGCTAAGTAAAGAATTTCCCATATTGCAGCCAATGATGTAACCATTAAGTATGCTACAAGCTGTGTCAAGAAAACAAAAGTTAGCTCACATGGAAGAAAATAGTAATAATGTTCCTTCTGTCTCAATTTATGTGATGTATTTTAACTGAATACAAAATTTAAGAGAAAATGAACTTGTGATTTAAAACAAATCATAGGTATTTGAGTAAATAAAACCCTAAACTATTAGGGATTTATGATTTTCATATTTAAACTATTGAATCTTCAGAGAACATCATGAGCTACCATGAAGTTATATTAAAAGTATAATACATAAACATATCTTTTAACTTTGCCTCATGTAGCATCTATGCTCTCCAATTTTGGATGTGAACAAGTAGACATTTAAAATTGTTTATAGAGTTGAACAAGCAAACACACACATCTTATTTGGCATTCTACATGGCAATTCGCACCATACGCGACATCCTACATGGTGTCCTACGTGTATTATACCACGTGGAGCACATATGTTTACTTATTCAATTTTATACAAATTTAAATGTCTTCTTGTGCATATTCAAACACAAATATCAACTAAAATTAAATTAAAGGGTAACTTATATATTATGCCTATATTAAAATACCACCTAAGAATATGATAGGGAGTTCCAGGTGTAGGGTGGAAAAAAGTAGAGTGAATGGTTAAAACCCCTAAAATTACCACTATTTTATGAGTTTCATACTTATACTATTGAATAATTACCCAACCCTCCTAAACTACTGTGAACTCATTCTGCTAGATGAAGCAAGAGTAAAAAGAAACACTTGCTAACAATTTAACTATAAAACTCGTAAAATGATGATAGTTTAGGAATTTGTTAACCTATTCCCTCTAAATAATTATGTATTTATAAAGTAATCATCTCATTAAGAATAAAATAAAATAAAAAGTTACATGATTTCTAAATATTAAATAAGTATCTTCACTACATCAAAAATGATCTATAACAATAATTAATTAACAATAATAATTTAATTACCGTTAAATATATATTTTTAGTGACAATTAATACTCTTTATAAATGTTCCTAGAGCCTGTAGTTGAATCCAAAATGAAAAGGATTGAATGTGAGAATTTAATTACCTGGTCAGAAACAAAGAAAAACCATGCTTTAGTGACTAAACCCCTGACCCACAGAGCTATAGCAGTAAACAGAGCATATCCACCTGATGCAGCACTAATGCCCACCATGTACCTGTTCAAATCGACAAAACATTACACTATATATATACTATATATATGATTAAAATTAATTTTTTTCTTATATACAATTGATTTAATCGTATATTTACTATTGTGAAATTCTAACTCCGCCACAAAAAAAGAAAAAAAAGAAAAAAAACATGAATATACTGACTTGAGTCCTGTGAAATTGGCGAATTCCAGCTTGCCATAACTGATATTGTTCTGTTGATTGGTGACAGAAAGCCATATGGAGGCAATAGACAAAGGAATGACAAACAACCTTAGTGTACAGTCAAGGGCTTTAAGATGTGATGCATCAAATCCCATTTTGTTATGTCAAAATATAGAACAACTCCTCCTTACAACACTATACATATAGATTTAATTTTTTATATAGGGAGAAAGAGTTGGTGAATCTGTTTATGTTATTAAAATTATTTGGAATTTTAAATATTTTTTAGTTGAAAAGAAGAATATGAAATGATGAGTTTGAAGGGGCTATCTATAGTGGGAAGAAAGAAAAGAAGTGGGGTGACCTTTCAAGAAGAGAAATCATGGCAAAGGGTTAGTGAGTTTTGGTTGGCGATATCTCTAATATCTAACACATGTACTCCTCTCACTCCCAAACAAACAAACAAACAAACAAAAAATTCCGGTATTGGAGCAATGGTAAGATTATTTCGTTCTTAATCAGAGTTTTCGAGTTTAAGTCGTAGGTATGGAGAAAATTAAGTTGAGAGCACCACTCTTGAATGGATCCTGCAGTGTCAATTTGAATTTAGTCGGGGATTCAATGTAGGCTTCAAATTAAACATTGGATGGGAAACTAATTTTTTTTTTAGTTGTAACAGATTTTTCATTTAACGATAATATTTATTGCGATAATTAAGTTAATATCATTATATTTAGAGTTATTAAAGTTTATAGTAATATTTATATTTATATACCGTATTGATTATTAGTATTAATATATGAAATTATGAATTCATATCTATTTTTATTACTTTCTTCGTTTAAAAAAGAATGATATTTTTGTTTCTTTTAGCTTGTTTAAAAAGAATGACTCATTTTATTTTATTTTTAATAATATTTTAATTTCAGTTTTCCAATTGACATGTTTATGGCCACAAGAATAAATGACATTTTGGTACATTTGACATAACTTAGATTTAGGACCACAAGATTAAAAAATCTTCTTTATTTTCTTGAACTCAGTGTCAAGTCAAACTAAGTCATTTTTTTTAGTCGGAAGGAGTATAATTTTAGTAAACTTTATCACTTAGATTTATATTTTATATCGAAAATATTTTGATACATATGAAATCGATATCAAAAAGATGTATTCACCGCTGAATTTAATTCACACGGCTCTTAGGCTTTCTTTTTCTTAGTATAACCACAAACATAGAAACAAAACAAAAAACCACAATCATAGACAATGACAAAATTGACTTTGTCCAGCCATTGTATAGAGGCATGCCTGTTTTTATTCCTTGAAATTAACTTTATAATGACAATTTTAAATAATAATAATTTAATTTTTTTATATATTTAATAAATTTATTCATTAATATAAACATATTATTCAAATAAATCTACTGGATTCAGCCAAATCGATATACGACCTACTAACTCTGTGCCCCTAATTGTAACTGTGTGGGGAGGGGTGACTTGTTTGCTTTCGACTTTTAAAAGTGTTATTTATTTCAAGATCATTGTGAAAATAATTTTTATTAATTACATTTAAACAAAGATAGAAATATATCTTTGTGTTTATTGATATATACCAAGTAAGTGATATAAATTTCATACCAAATCATTCATATCCATTAACATCAAACAAACATTAATTTAAATAGAATTTGAAACATTAACTTCAATAGATAAATGTTTTAATGAGATACACAATAAAAAACAACTTCCTAGGTATACTAACATTAACCAAAATTGAATTTGGTTCGGTTGGAACATGTTTGACATATGTTTAGATAATCAATTGAAATAAATTATACGTAATTTGAGTGTTTAAATGAAATTCTGAAAATATTGATAGACGCTATGATAAGAATCATATACATTAAAGTTACAAGCCATTTGCAATTGTCACAGTAATTGTATATGATCTTTAGTATTGTTGGTAAAGAAGTAGACCTGTATAAACAAGTAAGCAAGTGAAAACTCTTTACATAAAAGTTACATAAATATGTCCTTCACTTTGATTTCAGTTGTCATATATGCCCTCCAACTTTGAATGTGCATATGTAGACATTTAAACTTGTAAAATTAAACAAATAGACACATTCGTCTTACGTGACATCCTATATGGAAATTTTATGTCATACGTGCATTATGTCACGCAAAATGCTGTGTCTATTTGTTCAATTTTATACAAGTTCAAGTTCTACTTATGCACACCCAAAATTGAAAGACATAGATGCCAGCAAAAACCAAGTTAAAGAGCATAGGTATATTGTATAAAATAACAAATTATTAATTCAAATTAAATGTTATAACCACAGTTTGATTTAATTGTAATCCGTAGCAAACAGTTGTCATTCGCCTCTCTCACTTTATACAACACAAATGTATAAATTGTGTTTCTGTTTGTATAAAGTGAGAGAAAATTGTATATACACATGCAAATACATATATCTCCGTCCTATACAATTATAATTATACAATACAAATCTTCACCTGGCAGTTCTCTTTTGCCTTTGTCTCTTTCTCGCTTTATACAAACACAAATTATACAAAATACAATGTATAATTTGTGTTTGTATAAAGTGAGAGAGAGATTTGTATACAAAAATACAGTTACATATACATATACAGATTTATATTTAAATAATATAATACACATACATATACGACTAAAAATCTCAACAAAAAAAACATATATACAAAATACAATTATATATACATATACAAATACAGATTTTTATGTATATGTATATCGAAATATACAAATTAAGTTTGTTATGGAGCGCAATTATGCAAACTATAGCTATAGCATACAAATATGATTTTTATATTTGCTCCTAAAATTTACTCTTTATGTATTATGCCTTCAATTTGCAATAGAACTATCATTCAGTCCATTACAGTCATGAGGAGACCCTTTAAGAAATAACAACATTAGCATGAACAATATAATCATACACCTATGTTTAGGGAAAAGTTGTTTTATTTGTCTATTCTTGAGACCACATTGTCTATGTGAGTTGTGTGAAGCATATGCACAATCCAAGTAATTAAGTAAAAGAGGGATGTTATCAAAGAATACATTTTTTTTTTCATTCATTTTTTATCATACACGAAAAGGGTTGAAAGCTTTGCTTAGTTGAATTCAACGACTAATTGTATTCACCTTTAAAGGAGTGTGGTGGGATGGATGGATCCCTCCATCCTTAAGCAGAGACCTCGAGTTTGAGCCCAGTAAAGAGACAAAAGCCTCTAATATAGAATGTTTCCTTCCTTTAGTGGTCCCACGCGACACAAATCTGAATTAGTCCAACCAGTGGATTCCCGATATCAAATGGTTAAAGACAAAGAGAAACTATAATAGTCTTTCTTACCTGTCTCATAAGTTGGAGTACACACAAATACAATTTAAATCAACTAAAAACTCAGGCTTAAATTGAAAGTACTAACTAATACAGACCTCAACAGAACTTCCATAACTGTCTTCAATTTCCTGCTGAATCTTGTTGGCTGAGTTCCCAACAGATTTTGCACAATCGCTTATATGAATCAGCTGAAGTGTGGTTATGTCTACAAAATCCTGTGGGATCGAATACATGCTCCAACAACGGTTAATTACTAGTCGTTCAAGTCGTGGAAAGTGATCACTACTTGCTCTCCAGTTATGTAAGTACAAATGCTTCAATCGTAAAACCTTCAAATTTGGAAACCCTTCCTCACCAACTGCCCAATCAGTACCAATGCAAGCATCATATCCTAGTTTGAGTGCCTCGAGTTTAGGCAACTTACCAAGAATCTCCAAATCCTCCCAATGCAAACGAGTAGCTGTAAAAGCTAACTTGTTAAGGTTTTTTGGAAAAGCAACTAGAGGAGGAAGAACGAAAGATGTATCATATATTGCTCTTCCAACCATCTTTCTAATCTTGAATTTCAATTCCGTAAGCTGATCTAAGCAGCAAAGATCATGGAAATTAACCTTGTCCCTTCGTATGTAGTCATCTTGGATACCACATATTTGCAACTTCTTTACATTCGGAAGTAGTCTAAAGACCGAAGAAGTACAAGATAAAGGATTCCATCCAGACAGACACTCAAGATTTCTCAAAACCCAACTTGATCTCTTGCTAGATTCATGTCCATTCAAGTAATTCCAGTCCAAAGATAGATGCCTCAATTGCGACATCTTGAAAATACTCGATGGTAATCTGAAAGGTCTAGTAAACTTCCATCCGAGAGATGTTGGAAACTTAAGTATTAAAGTTTGCAAATACTCAAGGCTAGCTATTGAGGATGGAAAACAAATATCCCAAGCATTAGTGGATGAGTAAACACTCAAACCTAGATATCTCAAGTGAAATAGTTCAACTATGCAACTGGGAAAAACATTCAACGACAACGAAGCAAGATCAAGTACTCTTAGTACCTTGAAATGCTTCAAGTCCTGCACCATTCTTGAGCTCGAGGGATCTTCAGTAAAAACGAGAACAGAATAGGAATCGTTATTACAAACCATAGACAACTGATTGGCAGCAAGTTTGGATTGGATACTTATCCGAACTCCCTTTGTGGAATAATTCATGGATTGTTCACATGGATTTTGATTATCCATTATAACATTCACAAAATTTGTGTTTCGAGCTTCTCTCAAGCAGAGTTCACGGATCACATCATGCATTCCACAAGCTTTTATTTTTCCATCAAAACTACTCACCCTTTGGACAAAAATTAAATTTCTATCTATAAGATCTTTAACACATTTTTCTGCAACTTCTTCTATACTTTTCATCATTTCTGTCTTCAAAAAACCCTCTGCTGTCCATAATTTCACAAGTTTATTCACAAAAATCACTGTATCCTCCGGGAATATTGCAAAATATAGAAAACACGCTCTCAAGTGATGTGGTAAGTGATGATAACTCAACGCCAACACTCTCATGCATTGAACATTGTGATCTGTGCTTACCACTGAACTTACATTCTCTGCAACACTTGTCCATTCATTGAATGATTCACCAATATTAGACAGAACTCCAGCAATAACGATAATAGCTAAAGGTAATCCCCCGCATTTAAGAGCAATTTGTTTCCCAAGTTGTTCAAATTCAGGGGAGAAACAGTTTTTTACAAAGACTCTACTCTGTAGTAACTTCCAACTTTCATCAATATTCAAGAGTCGCATTTGATTAGGAGGCTTACATGAGCTAGCATACTTAGCTACTTCCATGTTCCGAGTTGTCAGCAGTATTCTGCTTCCACAGTTACAATCTGGGAAACATAGTTTCATATCATCCCAAGCTTGTTCGGTCCATATGTCATCAATGACTACCAAATACCTCCTCCCTTTTAGACTTTTTTGCAGTCGATCAGCTAGTTGCCCATCATCTTGATGCTCATTGCTCTTTCCACTTATAGAAGAAAGAAGACTTAGGCATACATTTTTCGCGCAATACTCTTGTGAAACAGTAGCTTTTGCACGAATGTCAAAATGTGACATTATGAATGGATCATTATAGATTTTGTTCGCCAAAGTTGTCTTACCGATGCCCCCCATACCTACAATTGAGACAACTTCTAGTTCCCTTCCTCCTCTAGCAAGTTGATCCTGCATCATCTCGAGTTCATTTTCATGACCAACCATCATATAATTATCCTCAGGCTCCACAACATGTTGAGATGTACTTGCGAGAGCCGAGTTATTCCCTTGTACATCTTTGGTTCTGGTGTACAATTTTTGCATTTTCATCCACTTGTTGACTCTGGAATCAATTTCTCCAACGGCATGTTCCAAGAGAAAATGAAATTTCCAAGAAGCTATTATTTGTGAAATTGGATTTTTAACATTTCTTGATTCCGAGTCCAAAAAATGTTCTGTGGTGCATACAACCTCTATGATTTCACCTTCCAAGCTTATCAATGCCTCAAGATCGCCTATCGGTTTCTCCAGATTAGCTCTCAAAGATTCAAGCTTTTCATAGAATGATTGCAAATCACATCCAGTAAGTTGAATTGATTGTTGTATGGTACTCATAAGACGAGTAATAGCAGCATAAGTCATGTCTTTCTATTATATGTGTTGTATCTGTGATACAATTGAAACTTGTACAATGTACTATATTATTATACATTAAAAAGCCCATATTTCTCAAATAAAAAACAAATAAACAACAAAATCCCCTCTTTTTAAAAGAACTTTATCAAATGGACAGGTTGTAAAGAGGGCCTATTAACCTAACTTTGCTGGTATATATCTCTAATAAACAAATAGAAAGATCAAAAGAAGATCTTTGGTCTTTGTCTTTCTATTTGTTTATTTGAGAAAAAAAAAAGAAGCAAAATTAAGTGGAAACTCTTACCAATCTTGTCATTTGCCGTGTAACTAATTTTGCTTTTTTTTTTTTGTTATTTAAATTTCATCATTTTAGTTCCTTATCAATTATCTCTCTCTCTTCAACTATCTATCGATATTGTATACTTTATTAGTACACTTCTACTTTCTTTTTCTTTTGGATTTAAAGTTGATGCGTTGGATTCCTTTTCTTTGGGATTATGTCATCCACATCATGTCGGTCCGGACACGTAGCGTAATCTTGTCCGTCGATTTGATATTTAATAAATGACGGATCGGTGGATAAGACTATGACACGTGTATATTCGTTAGTATAAAGGATATATATGCTCTAGTTTTTGAACGACAGGGGCACCAATGTCCCAAAAGTATGACAGAGGGTATCTGCATACCATTAACGATAGTTCGGGATATATTTGTCCTTTTTTCCCTTAATTAGCAAAAAGAATGTCCATAAATAAACTATTAAGGTGTGTTTGCATTTATTTGGTTGATGGTTGTAATTGACATTTTTAAAAATTATTATAGTAAAAAGTGAAAAGTAAAAACATCTCTTCAACCACCTCAAGTTGTATTTGATATTTTTTTTTATCAAGAATTCCGAAATAAAGTGAATAATACTCATAACCAAACACCTTTAGTGGGTGTGTTTTTTTTTTTTTTTTGGTTAAAAGGATACTTATATTAATACTTAATTGTTTAATACAAAGCTACTTGTAGCAGCAGAATATGAGACTAAGGGGTCGGTAGAAAGATTGATAATGCAGGGATTAGTAATGCAGGGATTAGAAATGCAGGGATTAACAATGCAGGGATTAGTAATGCAAGGATTATTTTTTATCAAGTGTTTGGTTCATTATTTCTCACCTAATTTTGTGTGGTTTAAAACTCTACAAGAAGCTTATTTCCAATTATATCCTTGAATTATTATGTGATTTTTTTAATTTTATATATAACATTATGACATATTTTCATGTTCATTCCATTGGTGAGCTTCAGTGCATTCCATTGGCCAATATTTCTCATTTAAGTTTAAAGTACGAGCTTGAGCAAGAGTCCCTGTCTCATCATCATACATACTGCTACATTGATTTATGAATGATACATGTTGGAATTTCATGACTTCAATGAAAACATAGAGGGGTCTGGGAATTAAATAACCATACAAGATAAGTGCAATTAGCAAATGCAAAAGGCTGACAACTCAGGCTCGCTTAGATCAGTTGAATTACTGATATTGTCAAAAGGTTGCAGATACCACCATTTGGCATTTCGAATTTTGTATTTAATTCAAAACTAATGGAACTAAAACATGATATAAAGAGAAGGAGGCTGGAAAGCAAATAACATGGTCCAGACCAAACTAACATATTTCCATGCTTTAACTCCAATCATTCACATTTCAATATGTACAGGGAAAAGGAGAAGCGAGAATCAAGTACATCAATTGACAAAAACAATCCAAATAAGCACATTTACATACATCATTTCAGTTTATCACAAGTGACACCACATTCAAGTTTTTCCATAGATTCTAGTTACACAAAAGCTATTATCCTCGTGTCCATCTTATGCCAACCATTTTCAAAATAGGACATAACAGAGGTATCAAAAAGTAACATTGCAATCAACAACCTTTGAAGGTCTTTAGTTAAGCAAAAATAGCAAAATGGACTCTCCACTTATCTTGAAGTCTACGATACTTTAAAGTTTATCATTGATGATCATAAACATCATAGTTTGACGCTCAAGTTCACCCATGCGTATAAATAATTTCATCTTTTTGACATCATCACAAAGAACCATTGTTGCTTTGATGCGTTGCTCTGTGGAGTACAACTCAAATATGGGAGATTCAATGATGGAATAAATTTGATCACGAAGATCAGATTGGTCGCGATTTCCAATCTTGTCAATTAAAGCACCCATTCGTTTGTCTTGACTGTCAGTAAAAAAAATTATAACCTCCACCATACCCTTAAGAAATGTCTCGGAATCATTTTCCGAAATCTTTTTTCTTTTCTTGCAATTCTCCTTTTCATTGACATTAGATGATCTTTTGGTATACTCACCTTGTTTATTGGTTTGTTGAGATTCAGCTTCTTTGGGTTCAAATGCGCCAGCATTTTCATTTTGAGATGCTTCAGGAAATGCAGTAGCTCCAGTAGCATTTTCAGCTTCTCCTGTAGTCATATTAGGTCTATGACTAGAACCGGCTTCTTCATCGCCATCAAGATCAATAGGAAATCCCAAACTCATGTTGTTAAACAGTCCCGAAGATTGACTCCTTTGAATTTCCTCTACAGCATCTACTAGTCCGCAAACTCTCCTGTTGCTCTATCCCTGCCAAAGATTTCCTCCCAATCCGCAAGCATCGGCCATTTTTTGGTATCCATATTTTTGGCATTTGGATCAACCTAGAAAATAATCATAAAAGAAAAGGCATGTGGCATCAGGCAGATAGTGTAAAAAAATTATAATAACTTTTATAAAGTATTAATTACCTTTAGAAAGTCATCCCAAAATTTGGGATCATCAACTATTATAGTTCCATCACTATATTGAAATCCCAATCCACTTCGACTCTTTAGCATGGCTATACTCGCATAACATTTCTTCCAATATCTTGTTTTAGATAAGACATGTGGTTCACCTTTCAATCCGTTGTTAGGATAATGTTTGCGTAAATAACATTCTAGCTCTTTTAGATATCCCGACCTAAAGGTTCCATTATCACTTCTCCAACCATTAATACATAACTCTTTTAATCCATCAATAAGAGTCCGTTCTTCTGCTGCAGTCCATGTCCTTCGAGTCGAAGGAGTTGAATTTCTTGATCTTTTTGATGTGTGTGAAGATGTTTGATTACTCATATTGACTTTATATTCTTGTAGAATAGATTTTAAAAAAAAAATAGGAAGAGATTATAATAATAGTGCACATATTTACTAGTTGAACAAATCTATAACCATGTCATGAGATAAGAATTGATTTTGGAAACAGTTGATATAAAAAATAAAATGCAAGAGAAATTGGTATATTTATAAAGTGGTTGGCTCTCCAGATTATTAGCTTAAAAACTATTGCATTCAACAGGAAGTCATGTAAACATCCACAAGTGAGATTATGTCAAGAAACTGACTAGCTTTATGCAACATATCTAATGTAGCCTTTTCGAAAGCATATACATTTCAGTCAAAAGGACTCATGTTTTCTTTATTCTCAAAAAACATTCCTGCGACATATCTACCTTGTGTGTTAAGAAGCTTTATTATTGTTAAATCCATAAATTCACCTGCATTTGAACAAAACTAACTAAAATATGCTTTCTTTTCCCAAAAGTCCAGAAGGAAAAAGAGAGCGAACTAAAAACAAAAGAAACATCTAGAACGAAATTCTTCGATATAACTAAACAAAAAATAAAGACGAGTACCACAAAAGAGTACAATCCATCAGAAAAGGTTGAAGTATGTGCGCATTTTGGGTCACTAAAGAGTTAAAGACGTACGGTGCATAGAAGTAACAGTTTTTTATTAAACTTTTCCTGCATAAGTTTTAGTAGTCGTAGTTCTTCAAGAAAGCATAACTAACACATATTAAGAAAATCACAAATTTCATAATAACATATTCTAAAAGTTTCAAGTACAAAAAGGAATCAAGACTCACAATTAACTAGTATAAGATCACTAGCTCACTGAAGGAGAAGAGCTATTCTAACTTCTGATAAAATGTTCACCTTTAAAGCGCAAACTAGATAATCACAAAAAAGAAGTATAATGTGTCATCACTGATTAGATCTTGCATTCCACATTGATTGAGATAATTCATCCCTCCAAGTGGTCCACTCTTCAGACAATTCAACAACATCAATATGTTTAGGTTGATTCTCCATTTGCTCTTCGATATCTATGTCTAAAGGATCAACATCCATCTCTCTACGGATAAAGTTGTGAATCAAACAACAAGCACTTATAATTCTGTTATGAACTTTAACAGAGTACCACGAAGAGCTCCTAAGAATTCCCCAATGCCCTTTCAAGAGACCAAACTCCCTTTCAATAACATTACGAGTCCTAGCATGCTTCATATTAAAGAAATATCTATACCAATCTCTTAACCAATATCTATACCCTTTGTAGGGTGAAAGAAAACATTTTCCATTTGTATATCCTCCATCACACAAATAATAATTACCTATAATATAAACATAAGACTTAGTTACTTTTCTATCCTTTTCATGTACATGTACCTTTTCAAAAAATAAAATACACCATTCTTCTTGTGTTTTAATATGAATATATAAGCATATATACATGGCATACCCTCAGGAATTTTTAAACCATTGCGTCGCACTATAGCATCTCGTAATACACAATCATCAGCAGCTGATCCTTCCCAACCAGGTAACACATAAGTAAAATTGATATTTATATCACAAACTCCCAATACATTAGTAGCTATATCTCACACTAATGTGAACGTAAGTACCATCTAGTGCACCTAAACAACCCTATAAAAACATAGAGTTATCTCACACTAAAAAAAAATCTTAGTAAGATTATATTTTCTAGTAATGTATAAATGCTAAAATTAATCTCACCTACCTTAAACCATTTCCATCGATCTTCAATCTCATCCTCAAGCACCGGTTTAGGATTGACAAGTAACAATGGAGTTAGTTTAAGTATAGCTCTCAAGCATTCATTAAA